ACGAGGAAAAGTACTTTTTCCTCGTAAGCTCCTCGTAAAGTTACTAAGGTCTTACGAGGAAAGTGTTTCCTCGTAAGTTTTCGAGGAGCTTACGAGGAAATTTGCTTTCCTCGTAAGATCCTAGTAAATGCTTAGTAAATTTACGAGGAAGCATTTTCCTAGTAAAATTTCCTAGTAAATGCTTTGTTTTCTTGTAGTGACAAGTCTCACAGTTAATTCATGTTTATTACATTGACGGAGCTGTTACATTTGTAGAACATAACGTATAGAAGCCATTTTCATTTTGACTTCAACTCTATGGTTTTCGTATATGATTTACGATCGTAAAATGGTTGCCTCATTCGGTTATATACGAGAATTTGATTTAAAAATATATGTACGAGAATGAAAGACAATAATACTTTGGCAAAACAAAAGAAAGAAGACTAGTTGGGGTAGGTTGCGTAAAGCATTCAAAGTTCAATCAAAAACGCGTATCATTATATGATCTCATCTCATCAAAATCATTCTCATGGGTCCTCCTTTAGCACTCATCTGTAGACCCACTCTCGTTCACTTTTCCCTTTTCAAAATTACGTGTCCCAACACTAAACCCCACTCATTGTTGTATTGTTGCCCCCACCGTATTGTCCGTCCAAGCACGTGGCGTTGTGTAACTCCTTAATTCCATTTGTTCCATGTGGCCAGTTTATGTCATCCATAATCGATAGTACCTAACTACCTATAGTAGTAGAGGCAAGTTACATCCTTTTGGTTGCTTGTAACTTTACACAACCAAACTGCATCTTAAACATCTTGAAAAGGAGCTCTTGGACAAGACTATGTCTCTTAACTCTGGCTTTGCCATCTTCTGACCGGACAAATGGATAAATTATAGGCGGTCAAGAAGGACTGAAAATGGCTAAAGTAAGCTTGTTAGTACTATGTCATCGCCACCTTCGTTTCATCATCAGCTACAAAATTATAAAAGAAGTGATCCATCACAGGTAGATCATCTAGTGGAACATTCTCACGATAGGTAGGACTTTTTGCAACCATTATAAAAATTGATAAAATGAGATCTTAGAGAAGAAACGTAGATCGTCGGTGTGTTGGTTCTTGAAGATAACTGTTGATGTTTTTCTGGTCATGTGGTCGCCAAAACATAATAGTATGTTTCCGTAAAAGTCAGTGCTGTATAAAATGTTCCACTAGATAAGCTTTTTATACTTTCGTGAACTAAAAAAATACGATTCACATGATCTAACGGAACGGTTTGTATAAAGAAATGCGTTCGATTTACCCTCAGGGCCTGATACCAAGATGTTATATTTGCTTTTCAAGTCAAGTGATAAACATACACTCTTCATCTGAGGCATGGTCACAGGGAATACCATGGTAGAACCTAGCTAACATCATTAATCTCTTATGTCTTTTACATAACATAATAATTTTTTCGTTATATATTACATAAAATTTTATAAGAAAAGTTGTTACGTAACATTCATTCTCAAACAAAACGCGCGCGAGTACCTATAGAAATACACATATATGAAACCGTATTTATAAACTTTGAAAACATCCATGACCAACACAATAGGAGTCAATATTGGCTTGTTAACAAACAAAATGCAAGGAAAAAAAGTGAAAATGACGTGCAATGTAAAAGAAAGCATAATATATAAACATATACAATAAATTTATTTATAAATTATAATAAATAAATAAATAAACAGAACAGGAAGATGAACGTTGTTCAAAAAAAAAAAAAGAACAGGAAGATGAATTATAGCCACTAAACGAAACTAATAAGTGGCTAGTAGCTTAATGAGTCACCTTCAGTAGTGATGGAATATTCAGTCCAAGATCGCTTCTAAAAAATGGATCTCAGAAGTTCCAAAGATTAATATTGTAATGAGAAAAGTCATCTTCAACAACATAAGCTCCATCGTAGTAAAAATCAGACGAGAGCTCATGTTCTTGTTGTTGTTGTGACGAATCCTCCATGTATAAGGTACCATACTCTTCCGACATACTAGGAACCAGAAGATTCTCTTCCCATAGAAACGGCCAATTATCATTACCATTGCCACTATTATTTTCGTTGTTGTAATAATTATTATATTCACCAACTTCTCCTAACGTTGGCCCACCACTAATTTCCCCACGTGCCGAAATTCCTCCTCCTTCCTCCGAGTTATCGCCACGTGGCGACGTTAATCGTTGTTGCAGATTAGGTGGTAATAGTTCCTCTTTAGCGAAACGGTTGGCTGCCACCTGAATCTCCTGCGGCGTCAGGGAACGTCCGCCGGGTATCTCCGGCGGATTATCCGGGAAGTTAAAACGCGCCTCGGTGCCGCGGAGACAGTAAAGAGCAGCGTCGAAAGCACGCGCCGCTTTCTCAGCTGAGTCGAAGGAGCCGAGCCAGATCCTCTCGCGGCTGTTTGGGAGACGAATCTCAGCCACCCATTTTCCCCACTTCCTCTTCCTTACACCTGTGTACTTGGGAGATGCATCCATAATAAACAAAAATGCAGAGGGATTAATTAGTTGTGTATATAATAATTGGTTATTAGGGTTTTTTGTGGATTAATCCAGGTGTTTTTTTTTTTTTTTGGAGTTGACAGTTATAGTGAGAATGGTGACTTGTTAGTGTATTTATATGTGTGTGTGTGTTTGTGTGATAAGTAGAGTATGGGAATTAGAAGAAGATGGTCTCGGGTTGTCTGCGCGTTGAGGAAGGTGGTTACGTTGTAACGCGGTGATGACTTGTGAAGAGGCAGTCATGTTTTTATTATTTACCAAACGTGCCGTTATTCTTCGTTTCACAAGCATGTGCTAACTTTTTTCACCAACCAATGAAATTAGGGCTTTAGTCATCTATACTATGATTTTAGCAGGAGACGAGAGCATGTTAAATTAGACTAGATCAGTATTAATTAATGAATTTATAATGTTTGTTTTTTTATGTTTTTGGTTTTGATTTTTTCTTCAGGATGTTAGTTTTCAGTTTTATTTTCCATGGGATATTGTAAAGCTTAAGAGAAAGAATTCGAGAAAAACCAAAACCAAAATCAAAGTCTATATACACTTGAAAATTAAAAATAAATTTGTTAATGTCACAATACCATGCCGAGATATCTGAAACATGTGATCTCGAGGGAGTCAGTGCTTATTAGATTTTTGTATTTGGTTGGTTGAAACTTGAAACTGTGTATGTGTATCGGAGAGAGTGATTAATAACCTAACTATAGTTTATAATAGACATACATTAGTTTATTAGCTATCAGTTGATTTTACATTGAAAATGTACAATCAGTGACAATATTTAAATCGACTTGACTAAGATGAATAACTCAAATTAATCTGAAAGAGAGTCTAAACCACTGGAATTGTAATTTAATTGGTCTTGAAATGGTGTTACCGTGTTATGCATAATCGGCGACCTTGTTTTAAATATATATCCTGCATACGCAAAGCAAAAAATAGGTTTGTACAGTTCGGGTCCTTTTTGCCATATAAAAATCCTTTAATTCATTATATTTAATAGATAGACATGTGTTTTGTCAACATCATATCATAGTATTGTGTCACGTTTCATGGAAGCTACACTTGTGGAGGAATTTTGGTTCTTCCCCCTTTTCTGCGCTGAATCTACAGTATAATAACTTTTATCTAGAGAACAAAAAGAAAATATAAGTTACTCCCTCCGTTTCATTTTAGTTATCGTTTTAGATTTTTGTACACAGATTAAAAAACATTTAATTTTACATATTTTCAAAATAAAAACATAATTATCTATACACCTAACCACATTTCAACTAATAAAAAATAGAAAAGTATATAAAGTTAATAAATTTTGCATCGAAATTATAAAACCACATTTATTTTGAAACGAAACATTTTCTCTAAACTGAAATAAAGGGAATATTATTTTAAATGTTAATCCATGTACTTAAAAATTAAGATTAGCAGGTTTCTATTACTTTCAATGCTGATTAATTTTTTTTGTTGGGAAAAAACTATAAGTTGAAAAATATTGAATACTAAAAGTTTAAAATTAACATATTTGGGATAGATTGGAATTTCAACCAGCTATCCTCATGGGAAAGTTTTCAACATATAGACCTTAAAGTAATATACATTCAGAAAATGGGGTTTATTTCTATTTTTTTGGCCAAAAATGTTCAAGCAAGTATTCTTTTCAAAGTGTACTAGTGCATCGGATGTCTATATATACAGTTATACAGAACAATATTTATATAAAAACAAACTAGTTGGCTTAAAATTAGAGTATAGTCGTCAATAAAACAATTTTAGGTAGGGTTTGTCTAAAATGAAATACTCGTTTTTTTCTTTCTATAAGATTAAATGCAACATTTAAAACTTAGTTTATACTACGTTATGTTTATATTATATCATTCTTGAGTACTTACAGGTTTTGAGAAATTAGGATAATTGTCTTTATCAAGAAATCTTATGACATAAACTAATTATTGATGATCCAGCATGATGTTTCGTTTTATTGTTTTCTTTAAAAAAATTTATGTCTCTCAGACATGATATGATCAAAATAAAGACACGAAGACAAACAACTCAAAGTCGCGAGTAGGCCTGGATGTTTTTAAAAGCCAAAAATACTTACCTTAACCCGACTCGAAGAAACCAAAATTAAATCCAAACCGTTATACAAAAATATTAATATACAATTTATAAGTTTAGTACTTTAAGGTTTACATATAATTTGAATCGAATCGAAATTTGAAGATATACAAAATTAGTTAAATATGTTAATGTTATATATATTTTCAGGTAATTTAAATATTTTATAATATTCAAAATATTATTTTTTGTTTGTTTTATTTGTTATTTTAAATATTCGTTAGTTAGTTTAGATAGCTTAACAACTTTTTAATTAGATTTGTGAATAATTTATATCTTTTGAAAAAAAAATCAATATTTTTTTGTGTTTAAAATATATTTTTAGATAATTTCAGACGTTTGGTTACAATCTAATTCAAATCGAATTTGGAAAGAATCAAATCGAATCTAACCCGATAATTAGTAAAACAGCATATGACTTATGAATATAGTACCAAAAAATTAAAATCCAAATTAACCGAACGAAAACTGATGGAGGCCTAGTCACGAATGTAAAGGGTGATTACAGACATCAAAAGACAAACATTAGAGAGTCAACGGGTCCAACATATAGTTTCGACTTGATGTTAACGAATGATTTGTTTATCTAAGACAGATGGAATAAGCCCACAAGAGAGCTAAATGGGCTCTATTGAGCCCATTTACAAACAACAAGACGAAGAGAACATGCCAACGCCATTTTCAGTTACTTGTCTTATGCGGATGCACGTGGACTCGAAGTTGGGTTAAAGGAGTTTGACGAGCGCGCAATCACTGTTATGCACGAGCTTATTAGTTTTACACTGGAGAAGAGATTGGTGACAGATCATCTGACCCATTTCAGGAGGGTCATTGTGTAATGGGTCAGATGATCTTGAAGCATTGTGGTATCTTCTATGTCACTGAGAGAGGGAAGAGATTCAATGTGTTCATGACAGAATCTTAGGAAGGGCAGAAGCTGATTAAAAAGTGTCCTTTGATACTTTGGAAATATAAGTTGCTGAGGTTTCCTGGCTATAGAGGAAGGAAGAGAGACATTCCGGGTTATAGTTTTTGGTAAACTTAAATATTCAAAATGTATTTCTTTTGTTTCCAAACGAAAAGAAAAATTAGAAAGAAAAAAAAAACTAAGAGATAAGAAAAGAACCCAAAGAGTTGATTCATCATGTCTGAAAAAAAGAAACAGTAATCAATCTTTGTTGTTCAAGCAAGCCAGTCGTCTCCATCCATGCCCTCAATTTCCCCAAACTCCATACTGTAAAATAAGTATCGTAATAAGTCAAATATTAGGCTTGTTAGTCACCGGTTTCCACAAATTAAAATGTGTAAGAATAACAACGAAGTATGGACTAAAGAAACACAAGTTGCCTAGCCAAACCAAAGTCAAATAATACAAAGCAATGATAACAACAATATAATTGTGGGATGACGTCAAGACCGTTTTGGGACAGTTCATAAACTTGGGGAAAGGATAGTGTTTTATAGGTGTCTATATATCACTGGACCAAAAAAAACAAAATAGACAGCTTCAAATCATGTAATAACCCGATGTGGACCCTTCTCATTCCACGAATTTTAATCACTCTTCTTCCATATTTTTGATCAATTAGTCCCATTTAATTATACATCAGAGTAGATTTTTATAACAAAATCGATGTTAAGTTCGCGCATGGGTTTACGATTGTGGAAACAACATCTACAACGCAACATCCGATGATCCTAATATCATATGTTAAATTTAGATTTATTATGAAATTTCAATTTAAAACTAATTGGCGATGATAACTGAATCGATCATAACCTTTATGTATTAGTTTATTAATATGACATGAGACTTTCACTTCATTCATTAACGAATCAAAATACCTAAATATTGTAATCTAATTAGTTAAGGTTAGAAAAAATATAAAATGAAAATTATTTTACCAGGACAATGGAGGATTGTGAGGACATGAGTAATGGGTGAGATTGAAAGGATGAAACAATTCTTCATCATCTGTTGGATTTAACCACGAAGGAAACTCCATTACGTCACTTAACTTCGGGAACACGTCATCTTCCACCACCACGACTTCTTCCTCCGGCTCCACCGTCTTCGTCTTGAGCTCTGACCACAAGGCTGACGTCACAACGTTGTTCTCTGATTCCATCAGCTGTTTCGACGGTTCGTGAAGAACCATATCAGATGTGGCAGCGAAGGTGGGAAGGGGAGGTGACGACGAGGTTTGGATGAAGTCGTCGAAGTCGTGGAAGTTGAGGTTCAACCCTAATGGTTGATGTGGGAGGAGGAAGTTGAGATCATGTGAGTTTGACCAAGAAAATGAATCAGGGAGAGGAGGGGAAGGTGGCGGTGGAGTCGTGGTGGCTTGTCTCATGGAAGCCCGGTGGTGTTTTAAGGCGGTGACTATTTCTCGACGAGCCTCGGCCATGTTAAGGAGACGCTCTTGGTAAGGACGGCTCGTATGGAGCCGTCTTCTCACTTGTTTCTTGTGCGTCTGCGTTTGCGTTTTGCCGCCGTTGCTGTCTGTGGTTGTAGTCATGGCGGTGGAAGAAGCAAGTTGTTGCTTCACGAGAGATATATTGGATGTTATGTAGCATAGACGCGTGGTTATTACTTGTGAGTTGTGTGAGAACTGACCATTTAAAATAGTTATGATTTTAACTGAGAAGATACCACTAATATTATTAGGTCATGTTTCTTCTCTTTGGTCATTTTTTTGCTTTCTTCCTCGAGGCTTTATCTGAGTGATTGTGATCAGACAAATGTCTCTTGAAAGAATACAAAAGAGAGAGGAGAGGTGATGACTGATGAGGAAGGAGGAAGAAGTAAAGGTTTCGTGGGTGATATAAATGCTCTGCTGTAGCCCAATATTATAAACATCTCCATATCTTTTGTGTGAGTTGTTTTTTCTTTCCCATTTTGGCAAAATGTATATATATTTCTTCACATTAAACCGAATAGAACCGAAAATGACCATCCAGTTCACAGTCCATTTTCGGTTCAATGTCGGAGGCCTAGACCAAGGTGTCCTCCAACTCAAGAAAAGATGGGCAAAGTAAATGCTTGTTTTTTTATAAGGCTGAACTTTTATCTTCAGCAAAACATGGTAAAATGAATAATACTACAAATATTTAGGAGATAATTTGTGTGTCGCTGGTGTCTTGGTGATTGTCTAAAATGACGGAAGAGGATCCATATGACACTAGTCTTCGGTTAAAAGTTTGAGAGATTTAGGGGAATACCCTTATTTGAGGCCTATATTAGAGGATTGCCCATTGATGGACATTAATTGTCAAAATCATACAATTATGTCTGGAAATATCCAAAATGCCCTTCTTTAATTAAAAAGTTTCTGCTGGTAGCAGAGAAATGTCAGGAGAGAGGAGAGAGGAGAGAGACATGTTATTTACATGTGTTGATAAATTATCTTAAATGATAACAATATTATCAAATAATAATATTTTTGAATGTATAATATTAAAATATTATAATAGATAAAATAATTTAATATTTGATATAATTGAAAACATAAGTTACAAGTTAATTGCAAAATTTCAACATAAATCTATAATTTGTTATAAATTCGATATTACATGTATTTGTTAACAGCTAACACATCTGTTAACATACACAAAATTTATTATCAGTTAATGTCTCTGTTAATAATCACTAGTGTCGATTGTTAACAAAGTTGTTAACGGTTAACAAATAATGTAGATGTTAACAGAAGTTTTAGCTGTTAAAAATACATGTTCCAGATGTTAACATAGGTGTTAGTTGTTAACAAATATACGTATCAGAGGTGTTAACATAAGTGTTGGAAATTTATAAAAATTATATATCTTAATAGAGATGTTATGTATTAACTGTTAACAAATAAATATCACTGAATTTTGTATTCTCAATCATATTAAGTAAATTTCAAATTTAAAATGATTATTTAAAAATATTCAAAATAAAAAATATTTAACATATTTATTTTATATGTAATTCATGTAAAAAAAAGATAACTAAAAGAGGAGATGAAGGAGAGAACGAGAGAGAGAGAGCTAAAAAAGAAAAAGGGAAATTGGTAGGTTGACAAACATAGGAGTGTAAGAGGAGAGAGACAGAAGGGCATTTTGGTCAATAAAATAGAATAAGTCAAATCATGGGCATTTGGCTAATTAGAAGGTGATCTATGGTGTTCCAGCAAATAATCTCTAAAAGTTTTTGTCTGTAAGTACAATGGGGCCGCATCTAGATGAAGGTCAAGAAATGCTCGTTTAGATATTGTTTTTCTCTTTTATCTACTATATGATGCAAATGTTCTACCGCTCTCGGCTCTCTTTTGGTATATATTTGAAAAGTCTAATAGTTATATGATAAATGGGATAACTACACTAAGAAGAAAATATATCTGATCAATTTCGATCTGATGCCCTTATTTTCTAGAGCTACACGCAAACTATAGTTTTAGCTTTATTTGACTACAAATAGCCACTTGTTTCCTTTATTTATGGATGCACGCAGATTCGAAATGTAGTAATAAGAGTTATTTATTTCACAAAAAGTTGTTGTTGAGATTGAGATTATAACATCACCAGACTATGAGAGAAAGAGAGGAAGTATGGCGAAAATGTGTCCCCAAGCAATAGTGGGGTAGTCTAATTTCAAAGGTTTTTTTGTTAAATGGTCCAAATTCAAAGGTTTCTTGCAAATTCAACTCCCACCTTTCATTGACAATACTTATATTATTTTCACACAGTATCATGTACTTGGTTGAAAAAAGTTTTACTTTGTCACTCTAAATTAGGTTTACTCTTTAATAAGTTTATGTGTATCGTGAGTGAATTGATCTATCATGTAAATCAGTAAATGTAGTGAATTAATTCATTTGTATATAGGTATATTTCAGTATAAAAACGTTGGTTGAAAATTATATATATCAATAACTACATATGGGTTCTTGGTGAAGTTGAATAAAATGAGTTGCGGCTAAAATTTTTGCAACTGTGGAACTATAATATTGGTTGTATAAAATATAGGCATGTGAGTATTACTCTGAACAGCGAGTAAATGACAGAGGTATGACAATTGTTACCCAATTTGCTGTTCTTTATTAACTTGGAATTATCCAAAGCAAGTACTTAGACTAATTGCTAAGACGATTACTTAGAGTAATTAGCCAAAGCCTATGGATGTGTAATCCACAAATATAGTCTCTTTCCAAGTATTCAAATGAGGTTCTAAATCATGATCACATAACTACATAAGTTCAATGTTGTGGGATTGTCTCGAACTGAGTCGATTTAGCTTCTTAAAATCCACATACCACTAAACTATCAATGTGTGGCAACCGTACAAGTTGATGTGACAAGTGGTGCCACGTGGGCCGACATTAAGGAACAATAAGAGTGAAACTGCCACGTGAGATCTCTCCACCTCCGGACAATAACCAAACCTTTTTGTTTCCTTCCGCGACCCCTAACCTTTTTTCTTCGTTCTTTTTTAACCATCGTCAAGCTTAGTAGTTAACTGATATATTTAGGCTTACTGGTCCTGCTGTGACTTCTACAACCCTGATAGTAAAATGTTGCTTGATTTGCCGACTGCCATGATACTTGATGGCCAACTTCTACTTTGCTTCGACCACTTCCACGAACTCGGTCTTAACTCAAAGTTACTCAACAATTTAGTCTATTTCGTTATCAGGCTTTAATGAACTGAAACTTATGTTTCTTTGGGCCGGGTCTTGAGTGGAAACCCAACACCAACTAAATCCATTAATGAAAGGGAATAAAAAAACATGAGATTGATTTCCTCACAATATGGACAAGGACATGCACACATTAATCATAATTAACGGACGTTAACTAATACTACAATTAATTGATTATTTAATGATGACACGTCATTACCTCGTTAAAGTGGAAGGGTAAATATGACATTCAAGATCCCAAGCATGTTCGGTCGGTAAAATAAGTAAATCTCTCGTATATAGTTTGGAAAGAAAAGCGCGTCGGCGAACAAACAATTCTCCTCGATTTTCCGATTCGCAATCTCTCTCTCTCTCTGTTTTCCTTCGAATTGTGTTGCAGTCTCTCGATCCTGTTCCTGCGAATTTGGATTTTAATTTGATTTCTCCGATCTGATCCAATCGAAGCTTCGGGAAGAAGAAAGAAAGAAAGAAAGAAAGATGTTTAATGGGATGATGGATCCTGAGATGATACGGCTCGCTCAAGATCAGATGAGCCGTATGACTCCTGCTGATTTCGCTAGAATCCAACAACAGGTTTCTATTTTTTTTTTTTGAAATTTTTGATTTGATGTGATTGTCATAATTGATTCAAAGCTTATTAGTGTCTTAAAATTGGATTCAGCCTTGGCTTGTAGTTTCAATCAATCAAGCAATCAATCTCGCGGTTTCAAATTTGCTCGCAATGTGTTTCTTTTTTAAAGAAAAAAAAATTGATGTGATTGTTATAATTGATTAAAAAATTGTAATTGGTGTACACTCTGTTTCTGATGTGAATTGTTGTTGTTAATTACAGATGATGTCGAATCCAGATTTGATGAAAATGGCAACGGAGAGTATGAACAACATGAGGCCTGAAGATTTGAGACAAGCTGCTGAACAGCTCAAGCATACTCGCCCTGAGGATATGGCTCAGATTGGTGAGAAGATGGCTAATGCTTCCCCTGAAGAGATTGCAGCTATGCGTGTTCAAGCTGATGCTCAGTTTACTTATCAAATCAACGCTGCTCAGATGCTTAAAAAACAGGTAATGTTTTTGGGAATCTTTGATTTTCTTGTATTTATCTGTCTGTGTTACTTTGATACTGAAACCGTTTTGTTATTATTGTTGGCAGGGTAATGAGCTTCATAGCCGAGGAAATTACAGTGGTGCTGCAGAGAAATATTTGCGTGTAAGTCTGCATACGTGTGTATCTTTTGTCATTCTACTTCACTTTCGAGCAATTTCTCTTTAAATTCTCGTGGACCATTATCTCAGGCGAAGAATAATTTGAAGGACATTCCATCTTCTAAAGGTGGAGCGCTTTTGTTGGCTTGTTCACTCAATCTCATGTCATGTTATTTGAAGACGAATCAGCTTCAAGAGTGCATAAAGGAAGGTTCCGAGGTATGTATGTCCCCTGATTTTCTATGCATTCTTAGTTGCTAACATGTCTGGTAAAAAGAGAGATGGAAATCTAATTGCTTATTTTCCTTTTATAGATGTAACACATTAATGTCATCATGTATTGAGTTTGTTCCGATGAATTTACATTATTACATTAATTCAGGTTTTGGTATATGATGCAACAAATGTCAAAGCCCTATACAGAAGAGGTCAAGCTTACAGAGATCTGGGACAACTTGAAGTGAGTTCTTTTCTAGCTTATGGAACTTTCCGTAGATTCCTTGTCAATATTAAATATGTCCTGAGTATATGTTTTCTCATTGATTGTCTGAAACTATAAGGATGCCGTCTCCGATCTGAGCAAGGCCCATGACGTTTCCCCTGAAGATGAGACAATTGCCGATGTCCTAAGGTATTGTATTTTTTATATTCTATGACTGCTTGTGTCATGCTTTTCAGCTCTGCTTGTTTCAGATGTTTTGATATCGACATATTTATAATAAACATCATCTATCTTTTATCTCTATTTTTTTGTCGTGTAGAGAGGCTAAGGAAAGATTGGCTGTTGAGGGCCCTGGCAAGTCATCATCAAAAGGTATTATAATCTTTTCTTCTATGAATTGCTCCAAATAATATAGTGTTATTATGTCAAACCAGACGTTTCTTAGCTGCATCCATGATCTGCTTCATCCATTAATGGCGTAACAACTGAAATATGGTTATCTTGTTTGGTTATTAGGTGTGGTGATTGAAGATATAACTGAAGAAGATACCGAAGAAAGTAAAAAAAGGTCTAAAGAGGTTACTGAGACACAACGAGGAAGCAACACTGGTGGTCATGCTCGGGACGTAAAGACCGATGTTGATGGGTTGCAGGCTCTCAAAGATGACCCCGAAGCAATCAGGTTCAACACCATTCCAGACTACTCTATAGATGTGCTTGTTTTACAATTGCAAACGAGTTGTATAACTTCTTTTTTCTCTGGCTTTCAGAACGTTCCAGAACTTCATTTCAAAAACTGATCCCGACACGCTTGCTGCTTTAAGCGGAGGCAAAGCTGGAGACATGTCACCAGACATGTTCAAAACCGCCTCTAGCATGATTGGCAAAATGTCTCCTGAAGAGATTCAAAAAATGGTCCAAACAGCCTCGTCCTTCAAAGGAGACAACCCTTTCGCTTCTACTGCTCCATCCGGAGAAAACGGGTTTGCACCCACACCTGACATGCTTAAACTCGCATCTGATATGATGAGTAAGATGTCAACAGAAGAGCGTGAGAGGATGTTTAACATGGCGTCGTCTTTGAAAGCAAACGCTCCAGTTTCAACATCAAACAGGGGCGCAGAAGCAACTGAGCCACCACGGAAAAGTAGTTTTGTAGGTGAGTCTAGTTCTTCTGGTAACTCCTTCACTGCTCCAAGAAGCGGTTTTGAACCAAGCATGGCTTCTGCCCCACCTGCTGACTTGCAAGAACAGATGAGAAACCAAATGAAAGATCCAGCGATGCGACAGGTTTTTGTTTATACTTTTACCTAAATAGGAAACATGAATGTGATAATAGCACAGATGTTCATATATTTTGTATCTTTTTATCTTGTTTATGGTAGATGTTCACGTCTATGATAAAGAACATGAATCCGGAGATGATGGCAAGCATGAGCGAACAATTCGGAATGAAGCTGTCTCAAGAAGATGCTGCAAAAGCTCAGGAAGCCATGGCTTCTCTGTCTCCCGAAGCCTTGGAGAAAATGGTACGCATTGATGTCAAAACATAAACGTTAACTTATTTATATTAGTTCTCATCTCTCATTTGTCTGAAAAATATAAATGGTTGTGTGTGCAGATGAGATGGGCGGATAGGGCTCAAACAGGGATGGAGAAAGCGAAGAAAGCAAAGAAGTGGTTGCTAGGGAAAGGAGGGTTGGTCTTTGCAATATGCATGCTCATTTTAGCAATGGTCCTTCATCGTCTCGGCTACATTGGAAGATAAAGGAATCAACAAAGGTCTCTTGAGACTTCTTCAACTCTTACGTCAAGATCAGTCTCTGGTTTTACTTACTGGTTTGTAAAACTGTAACATCAACCCACGTTTTGGCTCAGTTTCTTCCACCTTCGGTTGTGTTTTTTTTTGGAACTCTTAATATTAAAAAGAATATGTTGTTTTAGTTAAGATATTCGCTTATTTAATAAAGCATAACTTATTTTGTTCGTGGTATCTTTGTCGAGATTTGTTTATGAACCACGAAATCAAAGTAGTATTGATCTTAATATTAAAAGAGGAATAAAATACTAATCTGTTAGATTTAATTTTATATAAATACCAGATTTGTTTACAAAAAGAAATCAGATTTGTTGACAAAAAGAAATCAGATTTAATTTTTAAAAAATAAATGCCCAATTTTGTCTTTTTTAGATTATACGTATTTTTCTTACAAAACATAATTATTCTTTCTCGTGCTTTCCTTTCTCGACCAAAAGTGAAAAATCTTGTTGTCGGAATGAGGTGAAAACCGAAAGTAGTACAACAGAGAGGAGGAAGTACAACAGAAGGAAACACGTGTCATAATATGGGACCCAGTTGTTGTCTTTTCGTTAGTGGTTTTAAATTAAATTTAAATAAAGAAAAAAATAATGAAGATCGTGAGAGAAAGAGAGAGAGAGAGTCAATAGAGACCACGCGCAAGAGAGAAAGAAAGGTCTTTAGTCTTTTGTCTTCTTCTTCTCCATCATCATCTCCATTATCTTCGCTCTTCACGAATCTAGGGTTTTGTTTTCTCTCGCAACCCTAGATTTGATTTATTCGATCGTGTTAATTCATCCTTTATCGTCTCTCTCTTAGCTCATCATCCGATTTAATCGCGATTTTAATGGAGGTTAGTTTTTTTTTTTTTCTTTTCTGTTTTGTGTTTCATTTGTGCCGTTTAATTTGATCTGAGTAGACCTAATTACATAAATTCTTATAAAAGTCTGTAATTGGGATTTTGGGATTTGAAGCGGGGTTGGATTGTGCTCAGATTATCTATCGTCTTCGCTCGTTGAATTTTGCATTATTGAATTATTTTTTTGAAATTTCAGGGAGTTGGAGAAACGACGTCGTCTGAGGGGCATATGATATCGGCAGCAGCGTTTGTGCAAGGGGGAATACAAGATGCTTGTGATGATGCTTGTAGCATCTGTCTAGAATCCTTCTGCGAATCCGATCCATCTACTGTTATGTCTCTCAAGAAACAAATTATGTTTTGTATTTATTTAGTTCATATTTATTCATTTTTTTTGGTATTTTTTTCTCTCCGCAGTTGACTAGTTGCAAGCATGAGTATCATCTTCAATGCATTCTTGAGTGGTAAAACTCTTGAAGATGAAAAATCTTAGAATAATCAATTAATACCTCAAGCTCTGTATCAGTGGCATTTTTTTTTATATTTCAATATTTTTCTGCAGGTGTCAAAGGAGTTCGCAGTGCCCAATGTGTTGGCAATCAATTAGTCTCAAAGACCCCACTAGGTTATATTATTTACTTGGTAACACATTACATTGATGCACATCCTTGATTGGTAGAGGTTTTAGCTTAATGTGTTTTCTCTACGTTTTCAGTCAGGAACTGCTTGAGGGTGTTGTACAGGAGAGGAACTTCCGCATCAGTCCACCTAGAAATGCCACCATTTTTCGTCATCCTACTCTCGGTGATTTTGAGTTACAACATGTATGTGATGTGACTCTTTATCATTTTGACTCTGACTATACATCTCTTTGCTATTGAATTTATTTAAATAGAGAGAGATCCATCTTTTTTTTTCTCTTAAATGCAGCTACCAGTGGGTGTAGATAACGCAGAGATTGAAGAACGAATCATTCAGCATTTGGCTGCTGCTGCTGCTATGGGAAGAGCAAGACATGGGGTAAGAAGGGAAGGCCACAGAAGCAGGTCATCAAGTCAAGGTGGTCATCCACAGTTCATGGTGTATTCTCAGCATCCTAATGCCTCTCCTCCACCACATCCTCCAATGCCTTCCTCTCCATCTCAGAGAGATCATGAGAGTGACACAGTTACAAACCTTCCTCACAATACTACTGTAGTAGGGGAGGGTTCTCTTCAGTCAAACACAGTCACAAACCTTCCTCCTTCGGCATCTGATTCAAACAACAGGTCTGAACCTGATTATTGTCTGTCTCTTATTACAATGTGATTACATGCAACCAATCTGAGGCTTCCTTTGTTTTTACCATTCATCCACAGGTCTCTTAATCAATCTTCCCCAAGTGATCAAGATAGAGCTGGACCATCCGATCTCCAATCATTTTCAGAATCTTTAAAATCTCGACTAAACTCTGTCTCAACTAGGTACCCTAATCCCTATCTGCCTAGCTTTGGTTTGCTTATAATAACTGTTACCTATACTAATCGGTTCTTGATACACAAATGTAGATACAAAGAATCGATATCAAAGAACACAAGGAGCTGGAAGGATAGATTCTTCTCTCGCAACACCTCCATAGCAGATCTTGGCTCTGAGGTTAAAAGAGAGGTCAGTGCTGGAATCGCCACTGTGTCCCGGATGATGGAACGTCTAGAAACGAGAGAAAACACTAGTAGTAGTAGTAGACCTGGCAATGCATCTGTATCATCAAATGGCTCAGAAAATCACACTCATGCTGAAGCAAACAATGAGCATAATAGAAGATCAGAAGCGGGTGATGAACATTCTTTGAATGAAAGAGGTGTTAAAGGAACATGTGCGGCTGGTTCTGGTTCTAGCTAATAAAAACAAGTGCCAGCTTCTTGTTGTTGGCAAAGGTATATATGTTTGACCCCTACCTTGATGTACTATGATTCAGGTTTTTATCCATCTTATAAGTTCTTGTTCTGTTCTTTCTTTTCTTTGTAGAGACATGAAGATGTTTATCATTGTAAAAGTCTGCTATATATATTTCAGAGTCAGAAGTTCAAAAAGTGTGGGAGCATAGGAAAGAGTTTCTGATTCTTAAAAAAAATTAAAAATAATAAGAAAGGTTATATGACCAAAAGAAGGCTTGCTTCAGAAATGAAACGCCTTCTGATGTGTTGTGTTATGTCAAAACAAAAACTAAAAAGAGAGTAAAAGACTTGTGTGTTGTCCGTCTGTTGTAAATTTGACATTCTCGTTCACATTATCAATCAGTTCTGCTTAATTAATTTTGTGTATGATTGTTTACTTATCTTCAAAAATTCGGCCAAGTAAACCCAACTTATTGTATCTGTTCACTCAGCTTTTCTCCACTAGCTGCTCTATTTTTTTGTGGAATATCAAAAGCAAAACAGAAAGACACAGTCAGGACTACATATGGTCAAATAGTTCCAGCATAAATGACGTAATGTCTGATTCCTCCCTTCGAATGCTCTTCTCTGCGTATGGTGCAGTGTGTGTAGTCCTACGGGTTACACTAGATGCGATCTTGCTTATGACATTGTTGTAATACAATATCATATGGTTTCTTTTTATGATTTACATTGCCATCCTATCTTTTATGTTCTTGTTGTTGTTTCTTTGGCTGTCAATAGCCTTCTTGTATGCTTCTTCATAGGAGTGTAAACACCTTTAATATTAATGCAAGTATTGTTTGATCAAAAAAATAAATGACGTAATGTCTTTCTGAGGCTCATGAGTAATCTTCTCCGCCTTGGATATTTAACTTATTCTTGAATGCATTCTCCATTTCATCCATTCAACTCTTATTAGCTCCTCTCTAAACTAGTTATGTATCTTAATGACTCTCTTCAACTTCTTGTAGTCATTGATCTGAAAATGACAAAGGGAACGCCATATAATCTTCTTTTACGTGTGATCCACTTCTTGAATGTTGTAATGTGTTATAAAAGGCTTACAAAAGGCTTCTATATCTTGGATTCTTGATCAGGTGTGTTCCTTGGCTTATCTTCCAAACGCACGTTACCAAATCATCAACGGACTTGAACGCGTCGTGGAAGGTTCTACAGCAGCCAAACGCATCCCTGTGGTCGCCATGGCGTTTACGGTTGGAGTCCGGTTTGCTAACAATGTATATGGCGGTATGCAGTTTGTAGATTGGGCTAAATTATCCGGCGTCCAGTAGTTAAACCGGCCCGGTTTTATTACGAACCGGCCCGGTTCTGTTACGAACCGGTATCCAGACCGGCGTTCAGTAGTCCTTAGGGAATGTCGTCAAGTGATTAGGTTAATTACCAAGAGCTAGAGAAAGAATCTGGTTCATGATCTGAACCGAATTCTTCTAACCCGACCGGTGCAAGACTTTCCAATTTCCTTATTAGTATGCAAATAATAATTGACGTTTTGTATCATTTAAATAGGAAAACTAAAACGATGTCAAAAAAAAGGGAAAACTAAAACGTTTTTCCATTTTTTCATTTAGTGTAAAAAAAGAAAATTTCCATTTATCTCATCTACACAATCACTATATATTGCGGCATTAATAATCTCTTTGTCAAGTAAAAGATCAAAAGGTTATAGTATTCATCACGCAACAATGTCAAGGGTTTCACAGCTTACTCTCATCTTCGGCGAAAAACTACAAACTGTCAACACTAACTCAGATGATGTCGTGAAGAAACCATTGGCTCCATACCACCCTGATCAGTTGGACAGAGAGGTTGCTTCTTGGTCATCGTTCCAGATGCCTCTTCACTACCCACGCTTCACCAAGGAAGACTACGAGGTTATGTCGGAGGAAGAGCTTGATCGACTTCTCAAACTTTATGGTCTAACTACAGATCATGGTGACTTGTCTTGCAAGAAACAGTTTGCTATGGGTGCCTTCTTGTGGGAGAAGGAGATAACAGATTCATCTCCGGATATGCATGAAGTAAAGCCTAGTTCGTCCGTTGAGGATTTGGGTGAGAGCTCTTTGATGGGATTGGTGACGGCTTTGAAATATATGGTTCACTCTGTATTTCGTGTTTAGCAAGTAAAAAATCCACGGTAGCTTGGTCCTAAAGTTTTTGTTTCTGGTTGTTTTGTATGAATATCAATCACACTATGATTTTGAAATAATTTTTGTTTATTCAGTTATATTGCTATCAAATATTGGTAATCTAACAACGATCTAGTATCATAGCTAAATATTATTAATTTCAACAATGTACCAACTAAAACCTATTATAATTTTTGACAAATTATAATTTCTAACATAATGGTGCAGACCGATCGCTATACTCGTTTTCAAACTCAGAGATACTAGATTTTAGTTTTAAGATAGTGGGCGGATCACTCAGAGACAACCCAGTGAAAGTTGATTACACTCACACAATCTCTCTTTTCTTGTCTCTTGTTTTCTTCTTGACCAGTTTGTGTTCCTCAGCATGTCTTCCAACGCACGTTACAAAATCATCATTCATCACTAACTACTTTTACATTGGCCAAACGCCTCCCTGGGCTGGACATATTAAACATCAATAAAATTACAGTATTTAATCATAAGAAGGTTACATATGATGACTGGTATGTTTGCCTTCAGATTACTAATACCCTCTTCAGTCACTGCTCTGGTGCATAAATCCCGGAAAAAACCACTTATCCCTGCAATTGCTTCATGAACATTACGTGGCAATAGTGCGGAAAAAGCAAACGGAAGGAGACGCTGCATAATTACATGACAATCATGACTCTTCAAGCCAGTAA